GAGAATGGAAATGAGAACGGAAACGAGAACAGAGAATGGAAATGAGAATGGAAATGAGAATGGAAATGAGAATGGAAACGAGAACGGAGAATGGAAACAAGAAGAGAATGGAAATGAGAACGGAAACGAGAACAGAGAATGGAAACGAGAACAGAGAATGGAAACGAGAATGGAAACGAGAACGGAGAAAGGAAACGAGAATAGAGAATGGAAACAATGGAAATGAGAACAGAAACGAGAACAGAGAATGGAAATGAGAACAGAAACGAGAACAGAAAATCCTTCGTGAAGGGAGCCCTGTGGGCGCTGACCTTCGAAGATGTACTGGAACTTGTGCTGCTGCAGGCTGGCGCTCATGGCCTCCTCGATGGCGCTGATGTCCTTGTTGAGCCGCACCACCAGCGGGTCGTAGTCCATGCTCTCCACGTTGGCCACGATGGCGTAGTTGCCCTGCTTGGCCAGTGGGATCAGGTAGTGGAAGCAGTGAACCCTGGGGGCACGAGGGACAAACTTCAAAATGCAGAAATGTTGAAATGTTGAAAATATTAAATTGATTGAGTTAAAAATTAAAATAATTCAGGTAAATATTGAAATGTTTGTGGGATGCTGATGCCTCAGGATTTCAGTTTTTTTATTTCCACATCTCTTAATCCTGTGATTCTTTAGTGTTTAACTCCACAGGCAGTGCTGAGCTCCTGCTCTCCCATTTTTAACCATTTTTTGGAATTTTTCTCAGCTCTGATTGATGCCTCAGAATTTCAAGATTTTTTTATTTCCACATCTCTGTAACCCTGGAATTCCTCAGTGGATAACTCCAGACTCCTCAGGATTTTTTTAATTTCCACGTCTCTGTACCCTGTGATTCTTCAGTGTTTAACTCCAGACTCCACAGACAGTGCTGAGCTCCTGTTCTCCCGTTTTTAACCATTTTTAACCATTTTAAACCATTTTTTGGGAACTTTTGTCAGCTCTGATTGATGCCTCAGAATTTCAAATTTTTTTTATTTCAATGTCTCTGTACCCCTGAAATTCTTTAGTGTTTAACTCCAGACTCCTCAGACAGTGCTGAGCTCCCGCTCTCCCATTTTTAACCATTTTAAACCATTTTTTGGGAACTTTTGTCAGCTCTGATTGATGCCTCAGAATTTCAAGATTTTTTTATTTCCACATCTCTGTAACCCTGTGATTGTTCAGTGTTTAACTCCAAACCCCACAGACAGTGATGAGCTCCTGCTCTCCCATTTTTAACCATTTTTTGGAAGTTTTGTCAGCTCTGATTGACGCCTCAGGATTTCAGGATTTCTCTTTTTCCACATCTCTGTACCCCTGGAATTCCTTAGTGGATCACTCCAGACTCCACAGACAGTGCTGAGCTCCTGCTCTCCCATTTTCAACCATTTTTTGGAAGTTTTGTCAGCTCTGATTGATTCCTCAGAATTTCAGGATTGCTCTATTTCTACATCTCTGTAACCCTGGAATTCTTTAGTGGATAATTCCAGACTCTGCAGGATTTCAGGATTTCTCTATTTCCACATCTCTGTACCCCTGGAATTCTTTGGTCAATAACTCCACACTCCACAGACAGTGCTGAGCTCCTGCTCTCCCGTTTTTAACCATTTTTAACCATTTTAAACCATTTTTTGGGAACTTTTGTCAGCTCTGATTGATGCCTCAGAATTTCAGGATTTTTTTATTTACACATCTCTGTGCCCCTTTGATTCTTCAGTGTTTAATTCCAGACTCCACAGACAGTTCCCAACTCCTGCTCTCCCATTTTCAACCATTTTTTGGAAGTTTTGTCAGCTCTGATTGATTCCTCAGAATTTCAGGATTGCTCTATTTCCACATCTCTGTACCCCTGGAATTCTTTAGTGGATCACTCCAGACTCCTCAGGATTTCAGGATTTCTCTATTTCCACGTCTCTGTCCCCCTGTGATTCTTGTGTTTAACTCCAGACTCCACAGACAGTGCTGAGCTCCTGCTCTCCCATTTTCACACAAAACAATTCCTCTACAGCCCCAAACTCAAGGACACCTCCCTGTGCCCTTCCCATCCCAAGATCTGGAATTCCCAAATCCCAAACCCATTGGATGATGATCCATCAAATCCTGACATTCCCTTTTCCCTGGGATGCTTCGGAGCAAAGGGAAAACTGTGAAAAATCCACCTTATCCATGGAAAATCGCCTTCCCAGATGGGAAGAAATGATTGGATGTCTTTGATCTTTGCATGAGGAGTCAGAGAATTCGTAAAATTATCCAGCCCTTGGAAAAAATTCCAGCTGGTTCCCAATTATTGCTTGGAAAAGCAGGAGGAGAAGCTCCTCTTTGGAATAAACAAAATAAATATGTGGAGACACTGTTAGACCATGCAAGTATCACTGCGATCTTTTGGAAGGACAATGATGCCTGACTTTTGGGGTTTTTACCTGACTTTTCGGGTTTTTACCCGTCTTTTCAGGTTTTTCCCTTACTTTCCGGGTTTTTACCTGACTTTTGGGGTTTTTACCTGACTTTTGGGGTTTTTACCTGACTTTTGGGGTTTTTACCTGTTTTTTGGGGTTTTTACCTGACTTTCGGGGTTTTTACCTGATTTTTAGGGTTTTTATCTGACTTTTGGGATTTTTACCTGACTTTCCAGGATTTTACCTGACTTTTTTGGGTTTTTACCTGACTTTTGGGGTTTTTACCTGACTTTTGGGGGTTTTACCAGGTTTTCCCCTGACTTTTGGGGTTTTCCCCTAACTTTCGGGGTTTTCCCCTAACTTTCTGGGTTTTTCCCTAACTTTCTGGGTTTTTCCCTAACTTGTGGGGTTTTTCCCTAACTTTTGGGGATTTTTCCTAACTTTCAGGGTCTTTACCTGACTTTTGGGATTTTTACTGGGTTTTCCCCTAACTTTCTGTGTTTTTACCTGACTTCCAGGTGCAGCACCAGCAGACATCGTTCCGCCATCTCCTGGAAGGACCTGCCCAGCTCACTGAGGCTCTGTAGGATCTGTTCCGACGCTGGGAGCTGCTCCAAGCTGCTGTGGCTCTCCTGTCCTGGGGACGTGGCTGCGGACACAAAAAAGTGACATTTGGGACATCCTCAGAGCCCCCCGTGTGCTCCCATCCCGAATCCGGGGATTCCCAGAATCTCCCGTCCATAATTCCAGAGGGATCCAGGAGCAAAGTGTTCCAGCACTGGGTGGAATTCCCTGGATCTGAGGGGTTTTACCAACCCCAAAAAATATGAAACTAAAAATTGTTCATCAAAAATTGATGAGAATTCCCATGGCTGTGGGATCCCAGAGTTTATCCCACTCTGCCAGGACCCAAAATGTCCCCAAGGTCCTTTCTGCTCACACAGAGTCCCCATCCCACCCCAGGTGAGTCCTCACCTGTCCCCATCCCTTCACAGGAGGTTTTTGTAGCCTGATACTCCAGCTCAGTTTAGGAATTCTGCTGGGCAGAGACCAAACATCCTCAGGAAGGGCTCAGCGTGCCCTGTCCTATCTTAAACCCGAGCTCAGCCTTGGGTGAAGCCTTTAGTCCAGAACATCCTGTGTAAACTGAGCTCTGGCCTCATCCAGGGGGGATTAATTAGAATAGGGGGACATCACTGCATTTGTTAGTTTTCTTATTGGACAATCCTAGCTAGATATGCTAATTCCTGAAACCTATAAAACTTGTATCTTATTGGACAATCCTAGATAGACATGCTAATTCCTGAAATCTATAAAAATGGTATATTATTGGACAATCCTAGCTAGATATGCTAATTCCAGAAATCTATAAAACTTGTACCTTATTGGGGAGCCCTAAATAGATACGCTAATTCCTGAAATCTATAAAGCTTGTATCCTATTGGACAATCCTGGATAGATATACCAATTCCTGAAATCTATCAAACTTGTACCTTATTGGGGAATCCTAGACAGATATGCTAATTCCTGAAACCTATAAAACTTTTATCTTATTGGGGAGCCCTAAATAGAAATGCTAATTCCTGAAATCTATCAAACTTGTATCCTATTGGATAATCCTAGATGGAAATGCTAATTCCTGAAATCTGTCAAGCTTGTACCTTATTGGGGAATCCTAGATATGCTAATTCCTGAAATCTATAAAACTTGTATCTTATTGGACAATCCTAGATAAAAATGCTAATTCCTGAAATTTATAAAGCTTGTATCTTATTGGACAATCCTAGATACGCTAATTCCTGAAATCTATAAAACTTTTATCTTATTGGGGAGCCCTAAATAGATGTGCTAATTCCTGAAATCTATAAAATTGTACCTGTGCTATACACGGGTGTGCATTCTGCCATCAAGTTGTGCACCTGGGATCCCAAATCCGGAGGTAAAACCCGTTTTTACCCCCTTAACCGTGTCCGTGTCATTATTAAAACTGGCCTTTCAAGGCAAGACCGAGGTAAAACCCGTTTTTACCCCTAAATCGTGTCTGTGTCATTATTAAAACTGGCTGTTCAAGACAACACTGAGGTAAAACCCATTTTTACCCCCTTAACCATGTCTGTGTCATTATTAAAACTGACCATTCAAGGCAACACCGAGGTAAAACCCATTTTCATCCCCTTAACAGTGTCTGTGTCATTATTAAAAACCGACCATTCAAGGCAACACTGAGGTAAAACCCGTTTTTACCCCCTTAAACATGTCATTATTAAAAACTGCCCGCTCAAGACAACACCGAGGTAAAACCCTTTTTACCCCCTTAACCGTGTCATTATTCACACCGCCCGTTCAAGGCACCCCACGGGGCCGATTCCCGCCGCAATCCCATAATTCCATCCCCCAATCCCAAGCTCAGTTTCCTGGGGGCGGCGCTCACTTGGGGCCGTGGCCAGGCTGGACAGGGCAGCTTTGGTTCGCCCCGCCAGCCACTCCAGGCTCTCGTGCAGGTTGGCCAAGGCCTTGAGGTCGCTGACGTCGCGCAGGATCTCCTGGTGTGGGATCAGTTTGTCGCCCAAATTGCCGATCAGAACCTCGGATTCTTTGCCGAAAGCGGCCCTGGAAGGGAAAGCGAAGCCCCCTGTAAGAGACCGTCCTAAAGATCCTTGACTATCTCACCATCATCGACTGAACACCCCAAAAGGGAGAAGCCCGAGGGAATCAAGGTGGGGTGACTGCCAGATTTCCAGCTCCTAGGCTGGAAGGTACAGCGTGGCAACCATGGATGGCTGCACTGTTTAAAGAACATTCTCGACCGATCCTCTCCATGCTTCACAAGTTTCCATCAGGTTTCCATGCTTCACAACCCCCCTGGCTTGCAGCCACTCGCTTTCAAAAAGACTATAAAAAGTCTCCCCGAGAAGACCCCGATGGAGATCTCTCCCGACGGACGCTGGCGAACCCATGGAACCTTGGAGGATTTGTCGGAGCTGTTGGTAGCTATAACCCCACCCTCTCTCTCTCTTTCTCTCTCTCTTTCTCTCTCTTTCTCTCTCTCTCACCTTCTTCTATCGCAAAATATCCAGATAAATTATTCTTGATTATTTAAAGCATATATATTTGCCCCTCGTTTTCTTTTGCACTCTGAGATTCTGATAACGAACCCTCACGACCCCCGCTTGAGTTAAGCGGATCGTGACACCCCCTCAGGATGGTGGAATTGGGGGAGGGCACGAGGAGATTCGGTCACACCTCGGGGAAGGTCAAACCGACCCTTGTGGGACCATCCCAGGGATGGGAGGAATTCCAGGGGAGTTTTTTTTTCCCCCATCTTTCCTGTGTTTATAATCCCAGAATTTCACCTCACTCCTCACAGTTCCAAACTCCATCCCAACAGACTCCCACCCCTCCGCACCCTACGTGGAATTTACACCTTGAAGGGGCTTCCTGTGGGATTTCCCTGGGATTTCCATAAATAACACTTTTCCATCTTTCCCTGGAAATCAGCTCTTCCAATCCCTGGGATTCCCATAAATAACACTTTTCCATCTTTCCCTGGAAATCAGCAATTTCAATCCCTGGGATTCCCATAAATAGCACACATTGCACCTTTCCTGGAAATAAGCTATTCCAGTCCCTGGGATTTCAAGTTTCCATTTTTCCTGGAAATCAGCTCTTCCAATCCCTGGGATTCCCATAAATAACACTTTTCCATCTTTCCCTGGAAATCAACTCTTCCAATCCCTGGGATTCCCATAAATAACACTTTCCCATCTTTCCCTGGAAATCAGCTCTTCCAATCCCTGGGATTTCCATAAATCACATTTTTCAACTTTCCCTGGAAATCAACTATTTCAATCCCTGGGATTTCCATTTTCCATCTTTCTCTGGAATTCAGCCATTCCAATCTCAGGATTTCCATAAATAACACTTTTCCATAATTCCTGGAAATCAGCTCTTCCAATCCCTAGGATTCCCATAAACACCACTTTTGCATCTTTCCCTGGAAATCTGCCATTCAAATTTTGGGATTTCCATAAACCACACTTTTTTACCTTTCCCTGGAAATCAAATATTCCATTCTCGGGATTTCCATAAATAACCCTTTTCCATCTTTCCTGGAAATCTGCTCTTTCAGTCTCGGGATTTCCATAAATAACACTTTTCCATTTTTCCCTGGAAATCCGCCATTCAAATTTCAGGATTTCCTTAAACAACACTATTCCGCCAAGTACCATCAGCTTTGGGAATTCCTGCCCAGTATAACCAGTTTGGAATTCCAGCTCAGTACAATCAGCTTTGGGAATTCCTGCCCAGCACCACCAATTTTGGGAATTCCTGCCCAGTACAACCAGTTCTGGGAATTCATGCCCAGTGCAACCAGCTTTGGGAATTCCTGCCCTGTAAAATCCGTTTTGGGAATTCCTGCCCTGTAAAATCAATTTTGGGAATTCCTGCCCTGTAGAACCAATTGGGAATTCCTGCCCAGTTCAACCATTTGGACTTTAGGAACAATTTCTTCCCCCAAAGGCTGCCCAGGGCAGTGTTGGAATCTCCATTCCTTTTGGGATTTCAAATCCCCGTGG